CCAGGAGACCCTTTGAGGGCATCTAGCCCACTTTTTAAAAGTCTATGGAAGTAAGGTCCAAGAGGGAAAGGAAATTGTCTCAGGACCCACAGAAATTCAGATGTGGAGCTGACTCTCTCCCACGTCCTCTTGACCTGCTGAACGATAGGTGGCCAGGTTGGGGTTAGTGGGCTCGGGAGACAGACATGGGGTGGGACGTGGCTGGGATCACTGGCTCTGACATACAGGGCTGGATTCCACAGGGGGCTGGCACTGAGCTCCTCACACCATAGGGTCTGTGTGGAGGAGACAGTGGGGGGCAGCTTCCGACTGGTCTCAGACCCTGGGAAGACCTGACCTCCCTCCAGGTCCTGCCCTGGTAGGCTGGATGGATGCAGGTCAACAGAAACATCCATGAATTCTTCATGTATGATTTCAACCAACCACTCCCCCACCCGACCCCCTTCCTGGTCATAAGATCATCCAAGGAAACCAGGGCCCTGGAATGACACGGTACCCAGTTTAGGACCAGGGGAACCTATGTGGAGTGGACATTGCTGGTCCCTGCCCAGGTCCCCTTTCCTGGGCTAGTGCACCTGTCCCCTATCTGACCTGCAGGTTGTGGCCAGTGACCAACGGATGGCATGGTATAAAAGGCCGGGCTCCAGAGACACTTGTGGTGCTACAATCCAGAAGTCAGATGCCTCTTTGCTTCCTCCTTCCCTAGTCCTGTCTTCCTTCACTCCCTTACAGACATCTCTTGAAAGCTCTCCATCAAAAACAGCCAGGCGTGATGGTGTACACCTGTAGTCCCAGCTACTTGGGAGGCTGAGGTGGGAGGATGCTTAAGATTGTGACTATTTACACCTGTAAATAGTCATTGCACTCCAGCCTGGACAACATAGTAAGCAAGACCCTGTCCCTTTTTAAAAAAATAATAATAATAATAGTAATTTACTTGTCCAAGAGCCCCCATATGCGTCTATGGCAATATGTAAGCTTCTGAACACTATTCCCACGTCCTATGTGCTGGGAGAGAGCCACTGAGGGTTCTAAGTTTAGCAGCAGGAAAAGTTTGTTCCGGTGAAGGGAACTGAAGTTTCGTCTCATTCTCTGACACCGTGCTGTTCCCATGAGCTCAGAGAGATGCTTAAGCAACTGTTGACCGAATATTGATGAAGCACCCACCACATGCCCGGCAGCTGCTTGGCACTCCCGTCCCCTAAATCAGGCCAGAAGGCTTCCTAGACACCCCTCAGTCCCTTCTGTGGCAGCTGCGGAATGACAGTCAAGCGAGTACACGAAACCTTCAAAATGCTTTTCATTTCTTTTAATGTATAACAGTTACGCCTGAGTTACAGAGGAAGCGCTTACAAGCAGCAGGTAGTTAAAGCAAATACCAGTTTCTCTTTCTAGTCTACTACTCCATATAGCTGAATAAATTATGGTGCGATTATATTTAAACACACACCGCACACCCACGCACCCACACACACCCACTCACACCCTCGCGCACACTCACTCGCTCCCGCACGGAGGAACATGGCTGTGAGTCAAACACAGAAGCAACGAAGTTGCAGTTACTAGGAAGGAGGAATGGTCTAGAACTATGCGGATACTTCCCGCGTCGGGGGCTGGCCTTGTCAGAGTTGACAGAAGAAGCATCGGACACACAGAAGTCTCGGAGCCTTACCAGGGGGTGGCCAGGGTGCCCCCGTTTGGTCTCGGTGTGGTGCCTCTGCCGGAGGGGAGGAGAAAAGACCTGGATACCCCCAAAGCGCCCCATAGTGAGGGACACATTTGGGAGCCAGACAAGAACATCAGCCAGAGAGAGGCTCCAGAGAAAGTCCTGTTAGTCGGGTGACCATGGAGTTTCACCGGGTCCCAGGAGCCACCTCTCGGGACCTTCACCAGCTCCAGCTAAAACATTGGATTGTGGTGGAGTGGTCCGACCCGGGGATCTGTCAGGATCTCAAGCCAGAGTCAGAGCAGAACCCCGACCGTCTCATTTTTCCTCTGGGCAAACCTCCCTCCGTTCTTCTCTCCTCTCTTACTCCCCTAGCTCATTTCTTCTGCTCTCGAATGTTCCTCTGGCAAAAGAACAGCAAAGGTAAATCAAGTAAAAAATAAGAGTATAAAAGCATAGCTTGGTTCTTACACATCACTTCTTTTTTTCTTCGTATATATAGTGAGAGAGAAATACCAAATGAAAAAAATAAAGGAACAGGAATGAAAGAACCCAAGAGAGCCTGGAATGCGTAATTGGAAACACACGATATGAAGATATATCCCTACAGATGGTCCCTGGCACTAGCACGACACGCACTGTGGGGGTTTTCTTTCCTTTTTAGTATATATATATATATATTTATAAAAAGTCAACTTCCTATAAACGAACAGCACGTCACCACATTTTCAACTAATGTACAATGAGCTCAGAAGAGGGCCCCCCCCATAGATAGGACCGACAGCTACTTGTGATAGTTGGAGGAAGCATCTCTGACGTTGCTACTGACTCTATTTACAGGGATGGATGGGGGTTGTTTCGGAGCCAGCTTGGATGCTGGAATTCAGGCCTTTCTCAGGCTGTGGTCAGCCCCCAAGAGGCTGAGGCCTGGTGCCCTTCGTCCAACATCATCTCTCTGGTGACGTTTCAAGCTGCCAACACAAGGTTGAATCCTACAGACCGAGTTGGCTAGACACATTAACACATGGGGTTCTAGGGAGAATCCATTGGGGTCAGGAGCCGCTTTCTGGGGGGGGGGGGGGGGCGGTGCAGGGAACAAGTTCCATTTTCTACCAAGATGGTGGCTTGGGAGAACTTCCGAGGTGTTGGACATCATGAGAAATCCTTTGGTTTATTCCCAAGGTCTCAGTGCCATCTCACCACAGGGGGCAGATATTTGGGATTGGTCCTAGCAACGGAATGTCACCTCCTGGGGCTGGGGCTGGGGCTGGGCGGTGGTGCTGTTCCCTGCCTGAGATCCCTGCTCTTGAGTCACACAGGGTGTCAGGAGACTCAGACACTTTGTGAGCCAGGCCTCCTCCAGGGGGAAGGATTGACGGTTCAAGGAATGTGGATGAAGACTGTGGTTGATCTTCAGAAAGAGCTGCTCTCTCTGCGATGGCTACGGTGGCAGGCGCTGGGCTACCCAGGGACAGCACAACCTTCCTTGCCGTCCAGAACTTGAAGAACCAAACTCTCCTGCAGTGTGCCAGCTGGAAACTTGGTTGCACTTGGAGGGCCACATGTGACTGGGTGTCAACTGCTTCCAAAGAGTCTGTCTGTCCTCAATTATTAACAGGTTCCTCTAAACCAGAGATGTGAGCCACCCCAGTCATGGTCCAGGACAGGCTCGATGTTGCCAAGTCTGAAGATGAGATATAGGTATTTGTCACAGCGGTGACATCCATGCCGGCAAGCATCCTGGCGTCCTGCCAACCCAGCCTCCCAGGAGGAAGGAACACGGGCTGACTCCCAGAGAAGCAGCCCTTCCCTTTAGGAATGTCTTGCTGGCTAAGGGCAGAAGGCATGGATTGAGCAAAGAGGTGAACTCATGGACACGGGTGAGGACAAGCAATTTGGTCCAAAGTCGGTGAATTCAGGGCTGTGTCTTCCATTCCAAGTACCTTGTACCCAGCAGCACCCGATAAGGTGATCTGAGTGTAGGTTATGATGACAATGATGGTGAAGATGAATGGGGTTTTGACAATAGGTGAAGGTGGTGAAATTCCCAGGGAGGAGGAATCGGGGGCTTGAGTCATTCCCCCAAGGTCCCAGCTCTCAAAAGAGAATGAAACTTGAGGCTGCTGGAGTGGTCACGGAAGGTGCCTCTTCCCTCTTCTCTGGAACCTTTGGCATCTTCCTCTGCCCAGGAGTGGTGGCTTGAAAATCGGCCACATTGTCCTCGCTAACTGTGACGGGCCAGGAGACAGAGGCCTCTTGGTTGAGAGGGAGTCAACATTGGAGGATGCCACTCGGGGTGGGACAGTGACGTATCCCCCAATGGGAATTGGTAGTCTTGTCTGTGGCGCGAGAAACTGCCTTTGGAGCTCTGAGGGAAGCTCCCTGCACCCCCAGAGTGCTCAGTAAGACGGAGTGCTCAGTAAGACAGAGGCTCTTGCTAGAGGATGGGGAATGTGGAGGACAGGCTTGGGGCTCTGTGGGAGGCTTTGTGTGAAATCTAAACTCCATGTGGTGTGGATTTGCGGGCAGAGAGCTGCAGCCTTGGGCCACGGAGATTTGCTGCCCACAAGCAAAGGGTCCCTTCTGAGCCCGCCTTCTGCCCTCTCAAAGCCTCAAGTCTTCATTCCTTCCTTGTCTCATCTGATCCAGCTAATGAGGAAGCCCTAAATGGGGTGGCATGGTGGGAATTTGGGATTTAGTCTAAGAGGCTTCTGCTTCCAGATGCCTGAGTTGGGTCTTCACACCTAGGGCTGGCCCATGGATGACAAGCGCAGTCCCCACATGGCCCCCCCTGGCTAAGCCTCTTCCTGGTCTTCCCAGTCTAGATTTCTCCCCTTCACCCAGGAGAGGTGTGCAGGGAGGGCTCTAAAGTCCTCTGAATTCCTGGGTGGAGGTGAGACTGTCACCTGCTGACTCTTCTGGGAAGACCCCAGGACGAAGGTCCCCTCTCTGCTGGAATCCCAGTGTCCAGAGGCCCCCCTCTCCCCCAGAGAGTAAGCTACCAGCACTTCCTGCTGAGAATAGCCCTGTGAGTGTCACCTCTACCTCTGGACAGGGCACCCATAGAGTCAGGTCCAAAGGGCTTCAGCGCCTCCGTTCAGAAACTTCCTCTTCTGGGCGCCCAAGGTGTTCAGGGTGAGCCTCAAGCTCTGTGCCTCAGCTGGCACAGAGGCCACCATGGGATGTGATGGGGGAGGCCTGAAGGCTGACCAGAATCCCTCCTGGGGAGAGAGCAAGGGGCAGACTCCTAGTGCGTCACTCTGGATCCCTACCCACAGGTGAATGGCAGATTGACTGTCCACCTCCCGAGGGCTGGCAGTTGAGAAGGGGGTGGGCTCCTTTCCCGGCCTCCTGGGACCCAGAGGGGCAAGGGAGCTGAGGCTGGGAGGCCCAGGGGCCAGAAAGGGTTGGGCTGGGGCTTGGGCTGGGGCAAATCGCCCCAGGGGCCCTAGTAGGCCTGGCCAGTTTCCACAGGCAGGAGTCCCAGCACGGCAGAGTGCTCTCCAAGCTTCATGCGGCGCTGTGTGGAGAGGCTCACGTTTTTGGCCAGGTAATCAACGGCAGCTGGAAAAAAAGAAGAGAAGCTCCTAGAAATTGAGGTTCTTTTTATCTGTTCTCCTATTTACCACTCATGCACCCACCCATCCGTCCATCCATCCATCCATCCACTCACCCACCCTCTCGCCCATCATCCCTCCGTCCATCCATCCATCCATCCACCTGTCTATCCATCCATCCATCCATCCATCCACTCATACACCCTCCCGCCTATCATCCATCCGTCCATCCATGCATCCATGTATCCATCCATCCACCCATCTGTTTATCCATCCATCCATCCATGTATCCATCCATCCACCTGTCTATCCATCCATCCATCCATCCATCCACTCACCCATCATCCCTCCGTCCATCCATTCATCCATCCATCCATCCATGTATCCATCCATCCACCTGTCTATCCATCCATCCATCCATCCATCCATCCACTCATACACCCTCCCGCCTATCATCCATCCATCCATCCATGCATCCATCCATCCACCCATCTGTTTATCCATCCATCCATCCACTCACCCATCCACCCATCCACCCTCCCGCCCATCATCCCTCTGTCCATCCATCCATCCATCCATCCATCCATCCATCCATCCATCCCCCATCATCCATCTGCCCATGTATTTATCCACCCATCCATCCATCTATTCACAGCCATCTCCCCTTCCTTCCATCTATCCATCTGTTCCTCCACACATCTGCCGTTGCATTCGTCGGTCTCTTCATGAAGCTCTTTCTTTTGCCTCCTCTCCAAGCATCCAGCATTTACTCAGCGCTTGCTGTGCACCCTGCTCCCTTGAGGGTATTCACATTGTTGAGTAAAGAATCAGCCTCCCCTCTCCAGCAAGCCCTGTACGTATGGGGGAGGTCCAGTGAGTCTCACTGAGTGTCCTTCTGCCTTCACTGGACACAACATCAATGAGGAAAAGTAAGATACCTGCTGCAAAGCCAGAGGGTCTTTTGCAGATGAGCTGAGGGGCCTGTGTAGAAGGAGCCAGGATACCCATATGCAGGAGCTGAGATCTATAGCCCCGTCTGTTCTGGTCACCCAGAGAAGACAGATGAGTCTGAGGGGGTGTGTTCAGGGGAGTGCCGTGTGCTTGTGCGTGTGTAAACAGTAGAGGTGAGACTCTCCCTGGAGCAATGATGGGCACACACATGAATGCTTACACAAGAGCAGTACCTGCATTGCCCATGCACACACACATGTGTGGGTTGTGCATACCTTTGTGAGTAGAGGAACCGTAGGAAGGCCTGTGAGTGTCCAGGTACTGTATACAGGTGAGTTCCATCTGAGCTGTCCCTACCTGTCCACATGTAAGTGCAGGGATCACCCCTGGCTGTGTGCACACGTGTTTGTCTTGACTGTACAAATTGTGCCTGAGGTTGCAACAGAAATGGGCCCTAGCCAGATGACTTGGCCCAGATATTGCCTCCCATGCCAGGATCTGCAGCTGTGCCCATTTCAACCCCTGGGACCTCCAGGACCCAGAGGTGAGAGGGAGATGGAAAGAGCACTGAACTAGGAGTCTCGAGGTCTGGCCCAATGCCCACTCTGTCGTCTGCCCACCAGGGGACTCTGTAACACTCTACATGCTTCCCCGAGGTTGGAGAATCCTGTCTAGGGCAGGCAGGTGGAGCCCAAAGGTGCAGGGCATGGCCTGAGGGTGAGGCCAGGTGGGCAACACTGTGCACTGAGCCAGGGGAGGCTGTATTGCCGAGTGGCTTGAATGTCTGAGGTTTGAATTCTGGGCCTGCCAACTTTTAGCATGTGATTTGGGGTACACCACCTCACCTGCCCGAGCCTCAGTTTCCTTGTTTGTGGACAGGGGATAACAACAGCCCCAGGTAGAGGAGCTGTTGGAAGGTCGAACAAGAACTGCACATCGCGGGATTCACTGATGCTGTGCCTGGCACCCCCATGAGCTCAACAGATGTGGGCTCCAGGCCCACAGGAGACAAGGATCGGGACTCAGTAAGCAGAGGTGGCCTTTGATGGGGAAAGAAGGAAAGGAGCAGCCAATGAGGTGGCCTGCGGTCCCAGCTGCCCCTGCCCACGTGGCTTTGGGCACATCCGTCACCTCTGCAGGCCTGCTTCCTGTCTGCAGAATATGGTGAGCAGTCCCAGCCTCCTCGAGGGCTGCTGTGGTGAGGATCACATGAGATCACGTTCCTTGAGACGGCGGTCACACAGCATTTGGGACTGGGCCACCTGGATTCCTAAAGGGTATGCAAAAGGCCCTGGGGTCTCTCTGTAATGTCTGTAATGCCCCTCCGCTCACCAGATCCGAGGTGGGTGAAAAAAGCTAAGTGTGCTGAGGGCCTGAGCTGAGCCCCCGGGGGCTGCCAGCCTTCTTCCAAGGTCTCTCAGCTGGTAGAGTAGAAGTGGTGGAAGCCCTGCTTGGGTCTGCCCTTACGCTGGGCAAGGGAGTGAGCATTGCCGTCCCTGCCCCTGGGGGGACCCTGCAGTCCAGGCCACACCCTCTGCTACCTGGAACTAGTTTCCCCTGAGCTACAGGGTCTGCCCTGTCAGGAAGCCTCATTCTCAGAGGGATGACAGGAAAAGAAGGGAGAACTGGCCCCTCCCACAGCTGGCTCTTGCCCATCCTGTCCTGGGCACCTTCTGCTCATCTTTAATTTCATTCCCACCACAACTCTTTGAGGCTGGTAGTATCAGCATCCCCAGCTTAGACGTGATGCAACTGAGGCCCTGGAGATTGCATCCCTGCAAAGGTCATGGGGCGCATACATTGTGGGGCCAGGATTCGAACCCAGGCAGTCTGACGCCAGCTCCTAACCACCCCAAGCCTTTACCCGCAGCCTCCTGGACAATAACCTTGCATGCACACAGCACTTTAGCGTATATGGGGCGCTCTGCACCTCAAATTCTGCACTGATCCCCTGTTCTACTTTAGGCAACATAAGTGACTTTGCCCAAGAGTACATGGCCAAGTCAGGTAGCCTTCCCCTGAGCACAGCAGCTGCCGCCTCCCTGTCCTTACTCCACACCATGCCAGCCTCTGACCAGCCACCCCAGCTACGTCTGTGGATGGGACTGAGACAGCTGGCTTTTTACGTCGATACACAATATGGGTATATATTTATGGGGCAAATGTAACGTTTGCTACCTGCAGAGACTGTGTAACAATCAAGTCAGGGCGTCACCTGAATATGTGTCATTTCCGAGTGTTGGGAAAAGGTCAGGTCCTCTCTTTCACCTATTTTGAAATATCTAATACGTTGCTGTTAACTGTAGTCGCCCTACTGTGCTCTCAAATGCTAGAACTTACACCTTCCGTCTAACTCTATGCTTGTACCCATTAACCAGCCTCTCGTCCTGCTCTCTCCTTCCCAGACTCTGTCCTACTCTCCACCTCCATGAGATGAACCTTTGCGGCTCCCACATGCGAGTGGGAACACGTGGTATTTGTCTTTCTGTGCCCAGCTTGTTTCACTTAGCACAACGTCCTCCAGTTCCGTCCACGCTGCTGCAAGTGGCAGGATTCTTTTATGGATAAATAGCACTCACTGTGTGCAGAGGCCACGTTTTCTTGATCCAGTCCTCCGCTGATGGACACTTAGGTTGGTTCTGTATTTTGGCTATTGTGAATTGTGCTGCCATAAACAGGGGGTGCAGGTGTCCCTTGGCTACACTGACTTCCTTTCCTCCGGATAAAGCTGGCAGTTCTGTCTTTAGCTGGCTTTGACAGTGATCAAAGTGACAAAGTGAGGGCTTCACTCATGGACAGCTCCTACTCTGTGCTAGGCAGACATGACCTCATCTGAGTCTCTCAACAGCCCCGTGGATGTGAGATTGGCATGACTGTTCCCCTTCTATAAATGTGGAAACTGAGGCACGGGAAGATTTTTGGCCCAGAGTCACACATGGCACCTGACACGGAGGAGCCCGAATCGGTCCTGCTTGTGCCTCTTGCCGTGTGTTTCCTCCTTAGCGTCTCAGCTCCAACCCATGGCCCGGCACACAGTAGGAGCTTGCCCAGGTGCTATCACGGTGGCTAAGGACACACCGGGAGGCCAAAGTTTACTGACAACCCTCCCCTCCCAACTTCAAGGGCACCCACGGGCTGCAGATCCTTCTGCCTCTCCCGGGGGTGGAGCCGAGGGCCAGCGAGGGCAGGACTGTGACATTTCCCATTATGGCCTCCGTCAGCGTCCCTCCCTGTCCCTCTGTCCCTCCACATCTCCCTCCTCCGCCTGGCGCCCGCACCCGGGCTCCAAACGTCTCAAATTAGATTAATCGGGAGTTGGCAGGAGATGTGGCGGTGATGCCAACCAGTAAACAAATCTCAGCCGTCAGCGCCTCGTCAGCCCGCGGCCCCAGAGGAGGACCCTTCTAGACACAAATTCTTATTAGACTTGTCAGATCTATTAAAATTCTTTTCACACTTCTGCGTTCTATCAGCCCCACCATTAGTACGGCCCTGGCCTCTGGGAACACCAGGGCCATACTAATCTGCCGTGTGCCCCGTCCCTGGCCCCCTGCCCCCACCTCCTCAGGGACGGGGAGGGACAGACAGATGGATGGACAGTGGCTGGAGCAGGAGAAGAAGGTGGGGAGACCGGAGGCTGAGAGAGAGGAGGTGGACTGAGTTTGGCTCACGGCGAGCCGGCTCACCACACACCTGAAGGTGGCACCCAGGGGCAGGGCTGTGGCAGTGTCCATGTCAATGTGGACTGCTGGGGCAGACAGCCTCTCTGGGATTCCATCTCCTCACCTGTCCAGAGAGAACAGCCAAGTACACGGCACAGCATGGCCGAGAGGATGGAGGACAGACCCATTGTAGATGCTCAATAAACGGCCACTCCTCCTTCCTTCACATACACGTGTTTTGCAGATGCATATCTTTTTTCCCCCTGAGTTGGAGTCTCGCTCCGTTGCCCAGGCTGGAGCGCAGTGGCTTGCATGCTCACGGCCACCCCGGCGTCGACCTGCTGGGCTCCGGCGATCCTTCTGCCTCAGCCTTCCAAGTAGCTGGAACTACAGGTACCACGCCCGGCTAACTTTTTGGTTTATTGTAGAGATGAGGTCTCAAACTGTTCTCAAACCCATGGGCTCAGGCAATCCCCTCACCTCGGCCTCCCAGAGTGCTGGGATTACAGGCTTGAGTCACTGCGCCCGGCTTGCATGTGTATATCTTAAAGCTAGGTATATACATGCATAAACCCCTCTCTGTGTGCGCATCTGCCCATGTGCAGGTGCCCGTGAAACCATGGCCGTGAATCCACACACAGATGGGTTTAGGTGTGGCATAGAGGAGTGACTTCCACAAGTGTGTGGTTTCCAGTTAGGAGACTTGGAGTCCACCATTGCCCTCCTGTGGGGCTTGGGAAAAGCTGCCTGGCCTCTCTGGGCCTAGTTTTTTCCTCTTCAACCTGAGAACAAATAGCTTAGCGAGCTGTATGAAGGAGGAAGATGCATTTTGCCCCGTGGCTTTGGGGTTGAGCTTGGGCTCAGGATGGATGCACGGGGGTGACAGGTGGACCTGGCACACATAAGGCAGTCTGGGACATGGGGTTCTTGCACATGCCCTGGGAGCCCAGCCACAGGCGTGTTCAGTGGCTCCTGGACAGGGGGCAGGTGGTTCACAGGAATGCAGCATGTCTCTGGGCTAGCCCAAATGTCAAAGGTGAGGGAGACATGCAACGGAAACACCTTGAGACCACTGAGTCTCATGCACAGCCCGTTTTACAGGTGGGAAGACTGAGGCTGAGAGGCAAGGGTATGACTGGCCCACACTGACTGGTGGCTGAGGAGCAGACTGTCTCTCCCCGCCCAACTCTGGAGCCTCCGGGTCTGTCTGGGCAGGGCAGGAGAAGCTGGCCAAGAGGGTCTCTGAGCCATCCCCAGTGGAGCTGGGAGGAGAGTGAGAGGAGGGGAGGAGGGGAAGCATGGAGGAATCCATGCTGGCGGCTGGGCCCCGGTGGAGGGGAACAAACACTCCTTTCTCGCCTCCTGGGTCCTTCCCTTTTGATCCCCTCTCCTGCTGCCCCCATGCTGACTTTCGGGTTAATTTTATTTCCGAGTTGGGCAGGCGCCCTGGAGCAGGGCACTGCGCTTGCTGGGGTGTGACTAACGCCTGCCCCAGGCCGGGCCGCCTCCGAGGTCGCTCTGAAATCTTTATCAAGAGCATGTGTGTCCGTTCCATGCCCGGGAACATGGGTTGGGTCAGGGGTCATCCCAGGCCTCTCCAGAAACATTCCCATGCACGTGCTTTCAAACATACATGCCTACCCCATGCACACAGGCACAAGCACACACCACATGGGCACACCCAGATGGACATCTGCACACATGTGTACACAGACTCACCTATGCACGTGCCCAAACATACACACACCCCTATTTACACACTGCACACATGGTCCAGTGCCCACACACATGCACTCCCAAACACACAATCACGGACACACTATCTCAAGCATATGTACACGCCTGAACACACATCTATACCATGTGTACAGAGCCACACATGTGTGCATACTCGAATGCATGTTCATTCCACATATCCACACGATGACATAGGCATACATAAGCCAAACACACAGGACATACATAGAAATACTCAACCATATGTACACACCTGAATACACATTAAATGTGTGTATATTCGACATATATACTCACACATACACACGCTCACCCATATGCACAGATGCGTGCGGTAACGCTCAGATGCTGAATACTCAGACGCAGCCCATGCACACACGTATGCACGTACACACACATCAATCGTAACACACTCCTGACACATGCATACACGTATGCACACACACATATGCAAACATGCGCCTCCCCAGGCAGAGCCTGTGCACACAGCTGGCCTTCATTTAGCAGCAGAGGCCAAGGCCATATGAGGAGGAGAGGGTTGGGGTGGGCAGGAAGCAGAGGTCAGGGAGGACCGGCCAGGGCTGTGACTGGGGAAGGGACACCCTCAGGCTTGGAGGCCTCCACCTCTTGCCACACGCCCTTCTGATTAGTTTGACACCAGCAGGCGAGGCCTTTCAGGGAGGTGGGGCGGGAGGGTGAGCGGTGACCTCTGCTCCCCGTCTCGTCTGGGCCTGGTCCCACCAGGCAGGCAGAAGCTGTGGCCAGGCCTGCATTCTCTAGCTTTTGGCCTGAAGGTTCACCATCCTTGCTTCAAGGCAAGATACCAAGGGGGAGTGACCGGGGTGGGCGCGAGGGGCCATCACAGGGTTTGGGGAAACCAAGACTGGGGCGTGGGGTAGAGGGGAGAGCTCGAGGCACAGCTTTCCGTACCCAGGACAGAAGGGGTGGGGGCCTCCCCGCAGCTGTCCCGCGGCGGCCACTGGCGACACACGCCTATCTAGCACCCGAACTGAGGCCGGGGCAACCAGGGAACTGGATTTCCATGTGTCTCATTTCAATTGAAAAACTGATCTTCAATTTGGTTATTTCTTGGTTGGGACAACTGTAAGTATACTTGGAACACCTTGGGTGTGTAAGTCTACTTTCTCCATGGTGAATGTTATGAAATTTAAATACGAGTCGAGTCGTTCTGATGGAAACCTCGTGTCTGCATTAAAATGGGCTGTAAGTGCAAAACACACATCGGATGTCAAAGACAGTATGAAAAAGAACGTAAAAGGTCTCACTAATAACTGCATATGGGTCGCATGCCGAAATGGTAATCTTTTGGATATACTGGGCTAGATAAAACATTCGCAAAAATAATGACTCTTATTTCTTCGTATGTTCTAAAACGTGGCTACTAGAAAATGTGAAATAACATTTGTGGCCCATGGTGTATTCCTACTGGGGTCCAGGCTCAGGGGCGGGGGCTGGGCCAGGAGATGACCCGGGTTTGGCCCAGTTTGGTGTCATCGTAGGCGAGCCGTTCCTTCTTGATAGACCTCAATTTCCCCATCTGTGAAATGGGTAGCCACCCCACCACCCCAGCACCACCCTGCCTCTTTCTACAAATAAGCAGGAGGCCCTTGGAGGGGGAGGGAGCAAGACCCGGGAGGGGGTGCCCAGGGCACCGGACACTCACTCTGGCCGTATTGGCCGTACTGGTAGCCGGCCACGGGGTCCACGCTGTAACCGGCGGTGCTGTAGGTGGGCGGGCAGTAGGCCTGGGAGGTGGGCAGGCTGTCCCCCGGCTTGATGGAGTCGGCCCGCTGGCTGCAGCTGGCTGAGATGGAGGTGGCCGAGTCCAGGCCTCCGTGCAGCGGGGAGATGGAGAAGTCGGCCTGCGGCTGCGGGGGCACCGCACTGGGATTGCTCAGGATGCTCATCACCTGTGGGGAGAGACCATCAGCACCGGGCTGGAGGCTGCCCAGATGCCCGCACCTGGGCAGCTGCCACGCCGGCCCCAGACAGGCCTTTGGTGGAGGCTCCTGCGAGGTCCTCCGCTCGCCTGGTTTGCGTGCTCTTGTGCATGGGGTGGCTATCAGTCTCCAGTGTTTCTCCTGCTCAAGTCCTGACCCGGGGAGCCTTCCTCCCCTGAGAGCCCAAGAAGGCACGTCAGGGCTTTGCTCACCTCTCTACCCCCTGGGCTGGGCTCCCAGGGGCACCCTGGGCCTGTCTGTTGAACAAACACATGCGTGCTTGAATGCATGAATGAATGAATGATCTGACTAGTGATTCCTCTCCCCTTGGTCATGGGGCTCTCCTTGGTCAGAGAACTGTGCCTCCCCCATCTGACTGGGATGCCCTCAACTTCCAGCACAAATGCTAGAGAGGGACTGATCTGTCTGGCCCCTCTCACCCTCTCTGTGCCTGGCTTCTCCACTCTCAGCTTTTCTGGACTTTCAGTGTCCTGCTCCTGCAGTACCAAAGCACATGACCAATGCTACCAGATAACCTCCCAGATACCTTTGGTTCTGCAGGTGTCTGTGACCATCACCCCCTTGGTCAGGTACAGCAACTAGGCACTCACCATCAGTCTGGCAACTCAGACCAACAGGGTGAGGCTTGTCTCTAGAAACTCAGCTTAAAGAACCTGCTATTGAGGCATTGGGGTGCTCACTTATTCATTCAACAAACATGTATTAAAGGTGAGGTCGAGGGCTGAAGGCCCTGAGACTTCAGAGGAGAAAGAGCCACAGTCCCTGCCTCGGTGGGAGGCGGGAGGGATAGATCCGCCTCTGGCCTGGGAGGCAACTAGCAGAGACATGGAGGGAAGAGAGAAGCATCTACCATCGAAGGGGCCATGGAGCCCAGAGGAGGGCACCCAGTCAGGCTGGCAGGTCAGGGAAGCTTCTGGGGAGGCAGTAACTGCCGTTCGCTTCCAGGAGAGAGAGAGACACACAGTGACTCCGCCAGTCCAGGGCAGAGCGGGCAGAGGGCAGGAGGCAGAGCAGGTCCTTGGGAGCCCGATGCGAGGGACCAGCCTGGTGACTGCCTCTGGGCGCCACCCTGAGTGCGCGGTGGGGACAGCTTTGCGGGTTATCTGCCCAGCACTGAGAAAAGAACCCCCAGGCACATGTGCCCTGACTTCCCTCTCGGGGAAGAGGCAGGTTGTGGGCTTTGGAGAACGATTTGCTGACTGATACCTTCTGAAGGTTTTGACCTTCCCGCTGTTGATTTGTCCCGGCCACAGGCACTGAGGCACGGCCATGGTCAAGGGCACAGACGTGGATTCCTCGGGCCAAGGACAGACGCCGAGCTCCCCTATGTACCCGCTGAGTAACCTTGGAGTTGGGGGTTCCCAGGGCGGTTACCTCGCCTGACCCTCCCAATCCAAAGCCCCACAGAGATGTGTAGGGCAGAGCTAGGATGCCTATTTCTCAGGTGAAAACACGGAGGCCTGCTGAGGGCCATGGCTTTCCCAGACCTCACAGACCTGTGTGAGCAGCCCAGGGCCCAGTTCGCTTGCAAAACGTCAAGATCGACGCTCAAGGACGAGGTGTGGGCATCTGACCCCTGTAGAGGCTCTCACTCCAGGACCAGTCATAGTCCCTGGAGTGTAGTCCCTGTTTCCTGGACAGCTGTGGGGGTGGGGGGGGCCTCCCTCACTCTGGGGGCCTGGCCCCTCTGGAATGCCACGAGCCCTCCGCCTGACTCTTCCCTCCAGGCTCCCCGCACACTCCCTCAGCTCCGGAGTCACCCCTCCTCTGTCCTTCTCCACTGCCTATGGCTTGAGCTGGCTGGGGCTGTCACCACACAGTGGTCTGTGTCTCCACTGCTGCTGGTGGGATCCAGGTGGTACACAAAGGTGTGTTGACCCCACAAGATGACACACGGGATGGGTGTGCAAAAAGGTCCATTCGAGAAGCAGGAGAGGGCCAGGTGGTGTCTACACTGCTTCAGGCACTACCACTGCTTTAGGGAGTAGGGGTCTCCCAAGCTTGCTCTGCACCGAATGGACCCCAGGTGGACTCAGGCATCTGACACCGCCCTGGAGCCGAGGAGACCCAAGTCTTTCCCTTACTTGCCATCCGTTCCATCTCCCACCCGACACAAACATGGACCCCACTCCCTGCTCAGAGGAGGCCTGGACTCCGAGATTAGACTTAAAGGTTTAGGGAAAACATACAGGTTGCTTGTCCGCTCCTTCGGAAGGTCAGCTGTGGGAGGCGGGAGACTTGTCAGCTCTGGTGAGACCCATTTTCACCCTTCTCTCCACATCCCCAAAATGCCAAGACCAGACAGGATAATGAGGGCAGGAAGAATGGGACTGGCTACAGAGAGCAGGAAGGTGCTTTGGGGACAGGCTGAGAGCTGTGCATCGACCTAGTTCTTATTCTGTAAGACAGAAGAGACCCATGCAGTACCGCCACCAAATCTGGCACTATCATTCAAGAACGATCAATGGACAGGTGTAGTGGCTCGCGCCTGTAATCCCAGCACTTTGGGAGGAGGAGACGAGAGGACGGCCTGAGTCCCGGGGTTTGAGACCAGTCTGGCAATTTGGCAAGACCTCATCTCTACAATAAATCAAGAAAAATTAGCCAGGCATGGTGGCACACGCCTGTAGTCCCAGCTACTCGGAAGGCAGAGGTTGAAGGATCACCTGAGCCCACAGGCTGAAGCTGCGGTGGACGTGAACGTTCCACTGCACTGCAGCCTGGCGACAGAGTGAGACTGACTCAAAAAAAAAAAAAAGAATGATCGATGACTCCTCAGTACCTTCCAGCAAAGGCTTCTTGGGACCTGACCTCTACCTCCCTGTCCTAATTCCTCCCACCCTTTTTTGTACTTTATATCCCAGCTAACCCAAACGATGTGATCTTTCCTGAAGATATTATTCTTTCCTTTATTTATTAATTCAACAGACATTTCCTAGAGTGCTACTATGTGCCAGCTGGAGACAGGGCTAGACTACGAGCTCTTTGAGGGCAGGATGTCTGTGTTTTTCCCACCTCTATAGCCGCAGTACCTACACTGTCTGCTACATAGTCTGGACTCAGAAAAGCTCTGATGAATTCATGCATATTCACTAAACAAGTATTTATTGGGCGCCCATTGTGTGCTAGACACTGAGCCAGGAACAGGTGATACAGCAGTGACTGATACCAATTCCACACCCTCCTGGAGATGTTGGCCTCATGAAGGAAGCTGATTATAAGCAAGTCAACAAGTAAGGTGATTTCTGATACCGATAAACGCTATGGAGGATAAATAAGAGACCTGTGTGGGGAGTCAGGCAAGATCACCCCAAAGAGGTGACATCCAGCAAGAGCCAAGAGAGCAGCCCTGAGACGATGTGGCAGAAGAGCTTTCCAGGCAGGGAAATCAGCAAGTGCAAAGGCCCTGGGGTGCCTGGGATGGAGGAGGCTGAGCTGTGAAACGCACCCAGCAGGTTTGAGAAACAGCAAGAAGGTCACTGTGGAGAGTGAGACTCCCAAGAGCTTCAGGGCCATGTGCGATTCTTTCTCAGAAGGGGTGTGTGGTGCCCACTGGCTCAGGAGGCCTGGGACCGTGGGCCGTTAACAGACAGCTCAGGAGCTGCACAGGTCCAAGGAGCTTTGACCGTAATGGGATTTACTCAATGGGATTTGCCCCGGAACATCAAATCAAATCCACATCTGGGATAGGTGTGAATGTGGACGTGCCGCCTCTGCTCACTCTCCCCCAGAGTCTGTGGATCAAAGGGCTTCCATTCATCCAAGCCCCTGTCTCCAGGCAGGGCGGCTTCCAAGCACACAGGGCAGGGCTCAGCTGGAGAGGGGTGGAAGGGGGGGCACTTGCTGAAGAAGGCCATGGGCTCTGAGCCACTTCATTGACACTCAAGCAGACGGGATATTGCTCCCTCCATTCTGCAGATGGGGAAACGGAGGCACGGGCAAATGAAAAGGCTCGCCCGTGATCGCACAGATGGTAAGGCAGAGCTGAGATTTGCACCCGGATCTCCCGGAGAGTACAGGGGGATTGGCCCTCGCCTCCCTCTGGCTTCCTGGGGACCACTGGAGATCCCTCTCTGCCCGCAGAAGTAGGAAGTGTTTGCCCACAGTGAGGGGCCCCGCTGAGGTCTGGGGCCTGCAAACTTTTGAACTTGAGGAAGTCCTGGTCTGATGCAGTAATCCACCCCTCCAGAAGGCTAAGGCCTCTCCCCGGGTGGGTTTTACTTTTTCCCGGTGACCTTGCTCTCACTAATGTATTACTTCTTGGTACGTCACCGTTACTAACTCAAAATCAATACCGACCTCCACATCTGTAAGGCTTTATCTGAAGGCAAATCTCAGGGCTGTCCGTCAGGCTGACTGACAGCCATCCCTTCCTCTCCTCTGCCCCCCCACCCCACCCCGCCAGGGCCCCCACCTGCTCCCAGCCCCTTCCTCTGCCTCTACTCCAAATCAGTCCCAGTCTCGACCAGACTAAATCAGTAAGAGGCCAGCCTCACCCTCCCTCCCGCCCGCTGGGGAGAGGCTTGCTGGTTTGGGGGTGGGGGCCCCCCTTCCGCAGCCTCTGCTCACCACCCCCTCCCCCAGGACGCGCCAGCGCGCTCCCCTACTTTAAAAGAAGGGGATGGGAGAAATGTAATTAATTCCCTCCGTTCCTGAGCTGGCCCCAGGGCCTGGGACCGAGGAGGCTGAGCTGTGAGATCTGCACCCTCTGTGATAACCGAGCCAGGCTTTGGGAGCGGGTGGCAATTAGAAGGGGCGATCGCCATCGCCAGGCTCCGTGGCGGGGCCGTGGAGGGTGGGTGGGGGCTGCAGTGGGGTACAGAGGGGAAAGGGAGGTGCAGGGCCAGAGTCTGGGGGTCAAGGCGGGGTGAGGGGCCTGGAATCAGGTCAAGGAGCCCGGGGAATGGCTGCAGGTCACAGAGCGCCTCTCCATCACTGCCGGAGGGGGG